TTTTTTCACGATTTAACAGTTCCCACCTATGGATCGAAATAGAAAAGAAAAGGTATATTTTTTGCACTACTCCAAAAAGTTCACAATTTCGGTTGCAACCTTAACAGATTCTTCACCAACTAGGTTAAGGGAATGCACAGCACATGGCGCATAATCCGCGGATTTATTTTTTTGTTTCAGTAGTGCTTGTACACCATTGTAGTGACCCGCCATATTAGCAGGGTTGTCATAAGATTGTCCTCTACAATTATCCAGTAGTAGTCCATTTGTTTCTAAAAAGTCTTGTAGAATATTAAATAAATGTAAGCCAGTATGACTACTAATTTTAATGAAGGATACACATCTTTCATACACTTTTCCCCGAAAACAGTATCGTAATACAATAGCAAGTTGATCATTGTGAGATAGATCTGGGGTAGAATCCATCACAATTGAATAATGCTTAGTGCCGTCGTTACTTATTTGAGTTATAATTTGTTTAATCATCTGTCGGCCCATAATCTCAATTATTTCCTCATATACTGTTTTTGATAAGTCGGTTTTGGTCACAGTTCTCGTTGTTCAATGTGTTCACGACTGAATGGATCGAACTCTGCCTATAGCTCCAAAACACCCATAAAATTACCATTATGTGGAAAACCAAATACTTCCTCGGAACCTCTAAATGCTAAGCCCCTTATACTTAAAACTTTGACCACTGCAATAACCCGTTTTAGGACATTGTGATAATATTCTGTTTCTTTTCTTAATTGCTTCTGAAGCTGTTTGTCTAAAACAGATCTATTTTCTTTCGTGTCAACCACACTAACATTGATTTCTTATGTTCATTAGAATTTTCGTGATTTTCTAAACAAGTTCCTATGTGTTTCCAATCAGAAAATCCGATTGTGTATTGAGAAGGGATTATAGAAAAAAGTTTGCAAGTCAAACAAAAAACAGTACCAACCCTGGTTGAATAACATAACCAAGATCTTTCCAGTGATTGACCATTTTTCATTTCCTTAGGGAAATACCTATTTGAAAATGTTTTGTTTTGCTCTTTGTATTTCTTTATTGAAGTTGAATATATATTTTTCGGATCTTTATTTTGAAAGTCAGTTATTTCATGTGAGAGGGTGTCATAAAGAAAATCATTATTTTGCAATTCTGGCCACAAGACCACGTCAACATATTTCTCAAACTCAAACTCAGTATTCTCTAAATTTCTTTTCGCCTTGGTATTACCGTCCTCTTGCTGAACACCAATATAGTTTTCAGTGGGATCAGAGGGTTGCTGGTAGTCAAGACTTTGTACATTTTCATCACTTGTATTTTTTTCCTGGTGTTGCGATTTTCTGCTCCCTTCAAATAGATTCTCTTCGGATAAGATCCCTTCCTTTTCGCTTGTTAATAAATTTGTAGTTATTTCATTCTCGTTTTTATTTTCTAACTTGAAAAAAATTTAAATTTTGCACATTTCTTTCTTTTTTTTTCTTGATCTAGCTATAATTTCCGTTTCTCAGCTCCACTTTTATATTTTCAACCAGACTTATTGTAAAATAAGCCTTTAATATTTTTCTGAAAATAAACAATGAACTTGATAATTTTCTGGTAATAAGCAGGGAACGAGATAATCGATGTAATATTGTTCTTCACGTCACATTTTAATAATTTGTAATGAGTGTAGTAATTCACAAATTATCATTAGAAATCGATTAAAAAATTCATTTAGTATTGAAAAAATACATTAAAAACAAAAATAAACATGATTTATAATTCTTCGCACTTACCATCTAAGAGCAGGAAGTCTTTTCTTATACTGATTATATACTTTCAATTATAAGTAAAATAAGAGAAAGGTCTGGTCTTTATAACTTTTAAGATATCATTTATTAGTAAACTAAACAAGTTTGTCACTTTGACGACGAGAACAGAAGTGTGGGAGAAAAAAAATTACGTCGGGCGTAAAGTGGCGCGCCGAGAAGTCCCCCGTAATAGACGCGAAAAAATACACTGGCCAAAAGCAAGTACCGGGGAATTCCCCGTTCCGTTCGATAGACGCGCACATGCTAGGGTTGATTGATCTCAGGGTTGCCAACCTTATAATAGTTTTTTTTTAATATTAGATATTTTTTTAAATTCAAAATATCACCTATTGTTTTCAGTGGAGACTGGGGCCCCTTGTATCCACGGGGCCCTGGGCTGCAGCCCAAAAAGCCCTTAAGTAGAACCGCCCCTGCTTTCGCTGAATAAACATACCTTCTTTTTTTTACGGATTCAGATTTCTGCTAACTCTCCCAAATATAGGAGGTAGCTGAATCTGGGAAATATGATCCCATAGTTTGGTCAGGAGACGGGTCAAAGTTCGGTTCCCTTAATGTTAATTTTACTTTTTTGCGTATTTCGCCATGTCCCGCGAATTTTTTTTTAACGAACTAAAACATTTTTACACAATTATAAAATTCGTTCATCCAGAAATATATTTTCATGCAAAAAAGAAATTTTAGTAAATATTTATTATTTTATTTATAATATTTTACTTAATAGTCGAAAGCATTTTGAATTGTAAGGTATACAATTGTTTACGTCTTTAAAAAGTTTCTAATTTTACATGGCAAAACACAAAATTCGAGCGAAATTCGTTGAATAGTTCCTGAGAAATCGAATTTTAAAAAAGTCGGATTTTTAAAACTGTATGTTTATTCAGAGAAAATACGTTTTGTGCCTGATTTTGTAACTTACCATATAGTCTGCACTAATTAATTAGCGTACTTGAGATCCCCCCTTCGAACCATTAAGATGGAGTCCTAGAACGTGAAGATCCGATCATTAGATCAAAATCCGTCCAGAGTGATCCGCACTGTACAATTCTTATAAAGTAATTTTGAATCTTATAAAATGTTCTATTGTTTGAATAAGCATAAGAACTCCTCAAAACTCTTATTGTGACTAAGACGCACACAATCAAACCTGGTACTTCAATTACATTTTATAAAAATTATTGTTTTCGAGGTTCGAGAATCTAATGTTCAGTATTCAAAATGGTGGATCTAAAATGGCGGCGTTTAACTGTCAATAATTAGTTATGTGTCTAATTAATCATAAATACTACTTCAACAATGTTACTTTTTTATTGTTATTCAGTACATTTAATGTTTTTACACATATTATCCAAAATTTATATGACAATATGGCGAGTAACAATAAATAAATAAATAAAATCTGCACTTTTATGAAATAGTTTAAAAAAAATATTATTTTAATAGATAGATAGATATAGATTATTCTATATTTATTCTTCTATTGATTGTTGTTACTACTAATCGGCAATGAATTGATACAATTATTCTTTTTGAAAACGTGGTTTTAAAAGTATTACTTTTAGGAAATTCAGACATTCTAAGAAAATGTAAAAATATTTACGTCATATCCTCTTATTTTCAATGATAAATGATGAAGAAATCATGTTTAAAACATTTTTTTAATAATTATTGCATTAAAAATTATGAAAAATATTCAAACTTTTTTTTTTTTTTTTTGCTCTTACTTTTACATCAATAAAATCAATAGGAGAAGTTGTAAAATAACATGAAATATTCAATTTCGCAAAAAGGCTTTAAACTACTTCATTATACATTTTGTTTGTTAGCTTGTCAAAATTTTTTGATTCAATGGGATTGAATCCCCTCCCACAGATAGAACAGACAGTCAATGAGCAATAGTTTTTTGTGAGAAAGTGATGCCGGGGCTGGTATTTCCTTAGGTGCAAGGTCAGGAAGTCATCCAGAACAAGGGATGTTTGATACTCAGTGGTTGCAGGTTTTAAAACAACACTCGCCAACATACAATGAATTTCACAAAAAATTGCTGAAAAGATCCGCGGGGAAGTGTTTGAACATTCAGCCAATTGTCCAGATCCTTTTCACTGCGGACCTGTTCCACCTGTTCTTGCATACAAAACAAATTCCTGTTATAATTTTTTTACAAACGAAGACTTGCATACGGCTATGGCACGCTGGTTCTATTTCCAGGTGGCAGACTTGGATGATACTGAATTATTTAGGTGTATCCATGGGTACGGCAAGTGTCACCACACCGGTGGTTCTTATGAGTAGAAGTAGTTGAAATATTGCTCCATCGTTGTAATAAAACTTCACATGTAATAATCTTTTTTTTTTTTTTTGTTACTTTTTATGCGCCGTAGGGAAACTTACTTTCTGGATGACTCTCGTAGGGTTTTTTGTAACATTTTATGTACCGTTGGGAAACTTACTTTCTGGATGACTCTCGTAGACTTTTTTGTTACTTTTTATGTGCAGTGGGGAAACTTACTTTTTTTATGACTCTCGTAGATTGAATTTATTGACTTTATAGCTTTTTTTAAAAGAAAATATTCCATAAATCCTTATCCTGAAGCATAAAACAACATGAATGGAGCACAAATAAGGTACGAAAATAGATATATTATAGTTTCAGTTCTCTAAACAAGAACCTTCCTCGGTATCTAAGCATCAAAGGACCGTAGAAAAAAAAGAAACAAATACTTGGAAAGTGGTTTAGCCAATAGGGATAAATGAGCAAGTTTAAACAAGATATTAATAAGAAGGGTATTAAAAATAGGTGTGAAGGGTTTCGACGGAAATCCCTCAGTGCAAAAGATTTTTAAGCTTTTCTCCTTGAGGTTTCCGCTGAAACCTATCACACTTGTTTCTCATTCTTGTTCCCTTGTCCCTATTGATTAAACCACTTTGAACGCATTCGTCTTTTTTACTTTTCTAAAGTGATTTGGTGTTTAAACACTGAGAAAGGTTTTTGTTTAAAGAACCGAAACTATAGTATGCACATTTCTGTACTTTTTTCAGGCTTTCTTCCGGTTGTTTTTTGCTTCAGTCTGCGTAACACAAAATATATCCTTTTGCTCATTTTTTAATGACACACTCTCTGAAAAATCCCTCATATGATTCTACTTTGAATTATTTTAATTATTATTTTGCATAGCTAAGTGAAATATTGCTTTTTAGGTATCTGAGTAATGGACAGCCTTCATAGGAGCTCGATACCACGCTCAATTGATGGAAATGATCCTCGAATACCGATAGCTTGGAAGAGACGTGAGATGACATTTAGCAATCCTTACGCCAGAAGAGCATCCTCATCCTCGGTAACATCTTCCTCATCAGATGACCGGGAAGAAGTACCAATTGTAAGACAGCCATACAGACCTCTAAGTCGTCACAGTAATGTGGAAAAGCACGAAGATCGTTTCGAGCATTATGCTACATTACGTACTGATATGTTAGAGCAATTGTCTTCAAATCGTAGTGACAGAATGGATTCCCATAGAAATGCCAGCTATTTTCATGGACCATATCGAAGTTCAGGCCCCGGCTCAACTGGAACCTTAAGATCTACCAGAAGCGTTCCAGCTTTAGCATTTGCAGCAGCAATGGAAACGGCAGAGCCCTGTCCCATACATGGGGGAGATCTTGCTCCTTCATCTATGAGGCGACATGGATCACTATTCGATATTAGATCTCCTCCAATTGGTGGTATGCCAATGCTTGACAACAAAAGACTGTATGGTTCAAAGCATTCACTCGTCGGTTCACCACCACAGCAGTTTACTTTTCATCCAGAAATACCACAGTATTTACCACCTCATATGATGAACCCTATGATGAGACATCACATGGGCATGCCTGTGATCATGGAACCTCTTTCATTGCGTGATCGCGATCAATTCAATAAAAGAATGGCATTTCCTCCAAATGGGCCAAAAGGATATCCAACAAAGGAGCCTATAGACCCATACAGTGTAGAACAAGTCTGTTGTAAAGGACATCTAATTGTTTTATGGATTATTCTAGGTGTTGTAACTGTCGGAGTAATTCTTGGTATTATAATGGGAGTCACAATAACGTAATTGATGATAATAAATAATAGTAAAACAAGAACTCAGTGTAGCTCCTTTTACAACAAATTTTCGAAATTACAGCTTTTTAAAAATAAAAAAGCTGCTAATTAAGGAAATTTTAAAGGAATATGGTGATTTTATTCATTTTTATCTAATTTTAACTTATTCTTCTTGGAATCTAAACCTTTTAGTTCAAAAATGAAACTGCAATGGGAGTAACAATAACGAAATTGATGGTGTTAAACAATGGTATATCAAGAATGTGTTAGTTGAAAATGTATTCAGAACTCAGTAGAACTTCTTTTACGATGAATTTTCAAAATTATAACTTTTTAAAATAACCTCTCTTGGAATCGAAAAAATCCAATGAATGAAAAATATTACTGAAGATTTAAAATATTAATGCCTGTTTGATTACTGTAAGAAACAGAGATGAATAAAAAGATTAGTCACACACTGAGGGAGCGAACGGGAAGTAGAGGCATACGAGAGGCGAATTCCCATGCGTTTGAATTAGGAAGCGCATAACAGTTCTGCGCAAGCTAACATAAACATCGAGAAAATCGGTTTCTTGCCTTCTTCTTTCAACCCCAGTGTACGGCTTACCTTAGAAGCCCAAAATATCTCCAGGTATCAAACTGGTTTTGATAATTTTTCCCGTTTGATTCGATAGTGTTATTATTTCTTCATACCTTGAATAGTAGTTTGCAAACTCTGATGTACAGACTTTTTTTTTCACAAAAATTTAACAAGACTTAACTCTCTCTATGTGTATATATACATACATACATACATATATATATATATATATATATATGTATATATACATACATATATATATATACCCCTTCTTCCACTAATCCTTTTTCCGCCCAGATGATTCGCAAAAGCGGAGCAAATATTGCGAATATGAAGAGGATGTTGCGGATCATGATTCGGATCCTTTTTCTTTGTCACTTTTACACATCAAACGCTCCTACCGCTTTTCCAAACCCCACTTCTGCATGATTTGGCCCCCCTCTTCTTTTTATGCAATACGCCTCATTAGAACTTTTACTCCATTTTTTTTTATACTTGTTTGTACATCGGTAAATTTGTAACCTTTTATCAATTCTTTTTTATAAATATGTACCTTTGGCGCAGACTTTATTTCTTTTTGAAAATGAAAATGGTTATGTATTATTTTTTTGGTGTCGGCAGATGCTAGACTAGCCACACACCTAGCCGTAGAGGGAGTGCTTTGTTATTTCGGACTGAATTGTCCTGTAGCCGCCCTTTCTAAATGGAACGTTACAGTGTATGCCCATTTAAGGATTATATGCACACCATCATTTTTTTATATTATATATTCCCATCTCTTGAGATCTCGACTTTATTTTTTCGTTCAGTTTCGGTTGCAGTTTTAAAGATTACAAGTGCCTTCCCCTATTCAAATTTGAATACTTTTATTANTTTTTTTTTTAAATTCAGTAAATTTTTTGTGGGAAAAAAACGAGGTAGTTATTCTTTAGAGAATATAACCTATAATAGTTAAATTTATTCCCGTTTTGTGCTTTGCTCAAATGATTGTTCCAATCGTATACAGTTTATTAACTTTACTTAATTAAAATAACAATAGTTATTACTTAGTTAGATTAATAGTTATCTATATAACAAATTTATAACGAAATCGCGTAAATATTAAAGGAGTTATCAAATACCAGAGTTTTCAAAGTACTTAAAAAAAATTAATTAAACATTTCTAAAATCTTGCTTTATACATCTCAGAATGCATGCAAAGAATTCTTTTATCTCTAAATAGTACAAAAAATTTCTCAAAATTTCATGAAATTGACTTACATAAAGAATAGAAGAAATTGAATGAATTTGCAATCCATAGTAGTAAACTTGACATTTAGTGATAATCAATATACGTATATTCATTTCATTTACAGATCATTTGAATATAATATTAGTTAATGAACTCACTGTTAAGTGTCATAGTACTGAGATAAAGTTGCGGAAACATACATTATAGTTTTGAAACAAATATTTATCACTCTGACACAAACCACCAGAAAGACTGAAGATATTACATTATGTTCTTAAACTTAAAAAATCAAATCAAAATTTAACTAAACAATATTGTATAAATATTAAGTCAAAATTGTCTAGCTGTCTAAATTGGGGAAATAATAGTGCTTTATTACAGACTCGTATTTCTTTTAGTAGTTTCAGAAAATTAAGAACACCCTCCTTGAAAAAATTCTGCGTACGCCACTGGCCTCAACTGTTTCAATATAAATATTTCCCTCAATCTTCGTAAGAGATCATATTATGTAACTAGTTCCGGTTGTTTCTGTGATTCCGATTTTCCAGTTCCGATTTTAGTAAGGGATTCGACCGGCTCTATTACTGTCGCATGGGGTCACTGAATTACTATTTGCAATTTTTACACTTTCTCTTTTTAAGGCTTTGAAGTTCTCAGTCTGCCAGTCGACCTGTATGTTGGCTTCTTTGAACGACACGTGTGATTCCATCATTGTTTCAGCTTTAGTGAACTGAAAAACTTGAGTTAACTAAAGCTGAGTAACTGAAAAACTAAGCCCGAAGTAACACACAATATTAATTGATAATACTGATTGATACTGAAAAATCTGTGCTCAAGATTTTGACTAATATTTTTACAAGATATAAGTTATGCCCTGAAAATTTCAACATCATATATCACCACAAAAAGTTTCTAAATACTTCCATAGCGAAACTTAGTACTTGCAACTGATCTGCTTGGAACTGTTATTTTTGCAACTGGACTCATTTTGCTAGTTGATAAATGAAACAATGCATCATTTTGCATTTGTCAAAGTGTTTGGAACTGTCGTCCTCTAGATACTTAATTTTTAAGATTTTTTCTTTACACAAGTTATAGGGGTTACTTTATATTTTGAATATACTCATTAATTTCATGATGACTTATAATTTAAACATTTAAAGTACAAAATTTAGCAGGTACATCAAATCAAGCTGTCTGTATTCCACCACATTTACAAACACTGTGGAATACCAAGAAATATTCAAGTAAAATAGCAACACCATAAAGAAAAGAGTTTTTCAATCTCTCCATTTTTCTCTTGGTCTATATATATATATATATTATATAAAAATAAATAGTTTATAAAAATGTAAGCACATAAATTTTTAAGAAAAAAGAGAGCATCTAAATTTCCTGAAAAACTTAGCTGGAAGCAGGGAGTACAAGAAAAATGGGGGGGGGGAATCTCAACACCTTAGATAATATGTTAACTAAAGATACTCAAAGAAAAAAGCTCTTCCCAACCACCAAAAACAGAGATTCTCACTCTTAGAGAGGAGGATAGGAGCATAAGTTATATTTTGCAGGCAGGTTGGCTTATTTTTCAAAGTGTCGTCAACATATTTCATAATTGAAGGAAATAATAATCTTTCTTAGGAAGCTTGAAATATATAGATCGTTTACATAATCTCTAAAATGAGAAATTGTTAAATGAATTTTTATGAAAACACATTACTTGCGGGTACTTTTTTTTGTTGAGAATTTCACCATTAAAAATTTAAATTTAAGAAAAAGTTGGTTCAGGTAACCCAGGAGTAAGCCATAAAACTTTAAATGCTGAAATTGTTTTTTCAAAATATTAAAATGCAATCAAAGTTGGTACATTTACTTCTCCTATTGAAATAACGCTAGCTGCCATTTTGGGGAGGGAAAAATGAAGCAACCTTTTAAAGTATAATTTCCCCCGAAAAAGTGGTGAATACTTCAATCAAACTGAAAAGAAAACAGAACTACCAACCATTACGGATTGTTCATAATATTTCACTTTTAAATTTAAAGAGGCCATACGATTTATAGATTACATTTTAATTACTGAATTTTTAAATTTATTTCAAATTATTTTGATCATAACTGCACATAAATAAATCAATTATAAATCTAAATAAATGCAAGTTATTCAAATGATAGTATGGAAATGACCTTGGAAAGAAATTATTTTTATCTAAAACTGTTGTGTTTCAACTTTTTTTCACTACCACTTGGAATATTGATCCTCAGAATAATTATAAGTAGACAAGTTTGAGAAAAAAAATGTAATATTTCTACTTGCTTATTTTATTTCAGTTTCAATCAAATAACAACAACAACTGCTTTCTTTCAAAAAATTGTTTAAGTGCCATTCAGTTGCAAAACTTGCCATATCCAAGACATAAAATATTCAGGATATATGCTAATCAAAAGTAACATTTGGCAAATATGGAAATTCAGCATATTTTGCCAGTTTCGCAGCAAAAATGATTTTTAAATGCGAATTTGATTCAAATTACAACAACTTCCTGTATTCAGTTGATGGAAAAGTTACTAAGTAGTTAGAACTAATAAGCTAAAAAAAAACACCATTCCAAAATTTGACGGCATGGCCATTTTACAACTGAACAGCACAATGTTGTTAAAAGTATTGCACAAAAACCTAATATATACCTAATAACTTTAGATATAGACAAATTATGATGAACACAATGAAAAGTTCAGAGCTTATCAAGTTTTATTATAAATATAAGATCAAAAATACTTATAAAACATCAATTTTGCACATATTATAACTTTTTATGATATAATCAGTTTTTCCTTTAATATAGTAATCTAGCAGATGTTAAAAAATGAAATAACAAAAGGACATAGAAGATTAAAACTGAGCAAAACTTAACAAAAAAATCATAATCTGATTATATTTTCGAATTGTTTTTAATTTTTTCAAAAATAAAACAACTTATTTGCTAATTCTTCTTTTCACAAAAATTTTTAAAATAAGAATAAACAGTTTGATAACATGAATTAAATTTTTATACATGCATAAAACTATACAAAGTACTATAACCCATACAAAATATACATATATACACACTTTGGCATAACTTTTATAAGAGTAATAACGATAAAACTTTTTATTCTTCTTCACATCACAGAGTGTTTTCTTCACCTCGAACTAAACGTCCTCTGATTTGCCATATGTACTGAAATAACAAGTTTGACTCAAAAAATATTCTTTAAAGTAAATTTTCATTAATGAACAATAAAAAATTTGTGATCTTAAAAGGAAAGTATACAAGTATATTATTTAGCCCTTAATAATATTTATAATATTTTGTAATATATTATTATAATGTCCTTAGTAATAATATTCAATCGTTTATTTTACTTCTGATAAGGAAAATTCTTGCCTCCAAAAAGTTAGTTCAAAAGAGAAAACACAAATACCGCAAACAAGCAAAACAATCTCCAGGAACAAATTGAGAATGTTCCTTACTCAGCTGCTCACTTTGTGACTTTTTAATTTAAGCCTTTTGACTCGTGGAAATAAAAATGAAATTACTCATCCCAGATACTTTATACCAATTGTATAAAATTAAGCTAACTTTAATTACTGGTTAATATAAAAAATTATATTTATCTTTAGTTATGGAACTTTTTAAAAATGTAAGTTTTCAAGAAAGACCAGCCTTCATCGGACAAGTTATAAAAATTCTTTTAGTATCATCATTATGATAAAAGCAGCAATTATTGATTTTTGGGATTAATCAATTTTTGTGAATTGCATTCCCATTAAATATGTTTTGAAATAACCTTCTCCTGCACTTTAGTATATAGCTGTAAAGGGTCAAAAACAACTTTTAAGGTCTTTTTGAAAAATTCTTTTTTAGATAGTTTTTTAAGAATTTGTTTTAAGTGCATGGTAAAATTGGTCTAGCCGGTCACTCAACTCCTGTGTGCAAAGCGAACTTGCGACCTATCTCAGGGTCCTATCAAGACACCAAGAAAATTGTTCCATATTTCTTTAGGAAAGGATTGGTATACCTTAATATTAAGTTCATGGCAAATTAATCAATTTTACAACATATCATACTGAATAATTTTATAACGGAGCAAAGTTTAAGGATCATTAACTTTAATTTAGATATTGATTAGAGTAAACTTAACACCCAGATTGATGATTATTATGAAAAAGAACTTGTTTTAGAAACTTTTTATAGGGGAGAACAGAAATGCATTGCAAAAGGTGGAGGTTAGTTCGAAATATAATAAATGAGTAAGCAATTCCCATAGTTTCAGAAGTTTTCAGATCAATCTTAGAAATTAATGAACACACACTGCATTTAAAAATATGTGTTTTTGTCCAAAAAAAATGGAACTGTTTATTTTAATGACAAGATCAGTTTTCTTAGTTTTCTATCAATAAAAATAGCAATTCATTACTTAAAGAGAAATTTTTAAAACACTAAGTTTCTAATTAAATTCTTCACATTTGAATCCAAATTTGTTTTTAAATATAAACATGTAAAACAAATGAGAAAATGAATGTACAAAGATTTACTTTTTAAATTATGTATTTTAAAGTAAAATATGATATTTAAAGACACTTGTTTCAGTAAATTCTGTTTTATATTTTTAGTTTATCAATTGTAAAAAAACTGAGAGCTTTTTACTATATATTTCATTTCAAAAAAATTTGAACAAAAAATATAGGAGAATTAAAGAGATTTTGTTAAGCCTCTTTCTATTTTTTTGACCAATAGAAATTTGCTTCACATTTGGAATGAAAATTGCAGTAACAAAACTTTGTAACAAAGAATTTTCATACAGTAATATATAACCTTAACTAATAGTATGAACAATTTCAGCTGTATTCACAAATGTCACTTAATGCACCTTCCTCATGAACTAAAATAGGCGAAAATGTTTATACGAAAAAATTATAAATTCCTACCCTCCAAAAAAAACCACACAGAAAGTTATTAGAAATGGAATATTATAGCAGTATTTTCAAAAATGTGCACAATAAACGTTAAAAAATGTGCAAAAAATAACTGCACAATTCGCATAAAATAAAGAACAGACACACTTAACAACATTTGAATCATAGAGTTGTAAATGTAGGTAGGGCGTCAAAGCTGTTCAATTTCTGCTGTCAATGAGATTCCTCTCTTTATGCAAGAATGGAAGGTGACAGTTAAGACGAACTCTATTTTCTGGTAAATTTGTGTTTTGACCTTTTAAGGCAAGAGAAGAAAGCTTAGAATTTCAAGGGCGTTGATATTTTTGAAGTAAAATACTGGATTAGTTTTTAACAAGACCAAGAAAAGTTATTTTAGAACAATTACAAAATGAGGAAAATGTAAATTTTGGAATGGTTTAAAAAAGGTAAAAAGGTATCGCGTCATTAAACTAAATATAATTTAATTTAATAGTTTTCAGTAATAAAGCTTGGAACATCTGAAGTTATTTTATAAAAACTATGCATAAATTTTCTTATCAATTTATTAACCTTAAAATATGGTATAAAAAACTTGTTAAATTTTAATTCAACTTAGATTTTACAGTAGTTCAATATCCAATACAATTATGAATATCTTTCCATATATTTGGACTTTTTGAAAATATTTACTAGAAATGGTTTTAGACGCACTAAGAAGTCAAAAAATAAAATTAAAAAAATAAGAATGAGAAGTGCTGCATCACCTTTAAAAACTTTTTAAAAAGAACTTTTTAAACTTTTAAATTTTATTTAAGTTTTATACCTATCAGCTAGGATAAGGTTAATCAGCTTTAATACCACTGTTACGGTTTTTGACTTTTTCCTCAATTATTTTATTATCAGGGATGAGAGTAATCAGGAGATAAAAAAGAGGCAAATCCATCAATATATATANATATATATATATATGTACATAAAAATTTGACAAAAAAGTGTGATTTTTAAACTTGTAAAACATGTGATTATAAATCCCGAAGATTCATTTTAAAATTGTATGAATATGAATCATATACATGATTTTAAATTGAGAGAATATGAATTCCGATATGAGGCTTTTGAATCACGTGAATATGAAATTCTATATCGAGTTTAAAAAATTCAAAAATACAAATCATGATGCTTAGTTTTTAGATCACGTAAATCAGAGTAACAATGCATAATTTTTAAATCGCGCGAATACAAATCCGAATGTCCAATTTTTAAAGCACGTATAAATACGAAAATCGATGTTTGATATTTCAACTGCAAAAACGAATCACAATACTGGATTTTAAGCTCCCGTGAATACGAATTGCTACATAGGATTTTAAAAGCGCTTAAATACAAATCACCATATTGAATTTTTAAATCTCGTAAGTAAGAATTGCAATGTACGATATTTAAATAGCCTGAATAAGAATCGCAACGTTCAACTTTTAAATCAGGTAAATACGAAAATCGATGTTTGATAATAAATTCGTGATTTTAAAAATCCGTAAATACAAAACGCGATATTGGGTTTTTAAATCTCATAAATACGAATCATAATGTACGATATTTAAACAGCGTAAATAAGAATCAAAATGCGCAACTTTTAATTCAGGTAAATACGAAAATCGATGATTGATATTAAAATTGCTTGAATAAGAATTGAGATATTTGCTGAGTCTGGACTTGGGATTTTTGAAAGGCTTGTTTGTATTGTTTTTGTTTCGACACAATAAATAAAAATTTACAAGATTAATTGAATGAGCAAATAAATATTTTCGCCGCAAAACCACAGCTATATTTTTATTTTCGTTTGCTTTCACGCCAGAAAACAGGAAGCAGTGACATCTGAATTACGAAAATATGAGCTATCCGGCAGACGGATAAAAATACGGAAAATCTTATTTTCTGCACTAAAAGCGGAGAAAATAACTAAAATAAGTAAAAATGTAGAAGGGTTAGCAGCTAGGACGAAATTTGAATTTTCTATTTATCTTTGAAAATCGTAAATAAGTATAATTAATTTATTTCAACAACAGAATTTTTTTAAATAAAGCGGGATATTTATTAAATAAAAAACAAACTTTTAGAGAAGCAGAGTTTCTGATATAAAAGCTGAAATTCGAGAGCCAAAAGCAAAAAAATATCCCTGTGTCAACCAGTTTTATCCCAAGGAAATGATTTTTAGAGAAACTTCAGAGGGAGGAATGAGGACTTCAATACCTTCGCTCCGTGGAAAATTAAATTTCTCATAAAATATTTATACTTGTGCAAAAAAACGTTTCGCGGAAATTAGCGGGGGAAATGGAAAAATCTGGAAAAAAAAGCGGAAATCCGCAAATCAGCGGAAGAGTCACATCCCTGTATTATAAACGTCATTGAACTACCAACGACTTTCTACGGTCAGCCTAACGGACAAGGGAATTCTAACCCATGATCCGTCTACCAAGCACTGTAGTCGGTGTGAGCTGGGAGCAGAATTCATATAGACCAGCACTTGTAGGATTCAAACCCGGTTCACCTCATTAGATGACAAACACTCTATTCCCTGTGCCATCATAGCTCTTTCAAATCAAATAACTAATAAGTCAGTGTTAAAAAAACTTTGCCTTAATTATCAAATAGTTTCGTAATTATATTTTAAAAGCCCTATTCTTTCTGAGGAAATGCATTTTATGAATAAACCAACAAAAGCAAGCTGCTGAAATTAAGAAAATGTTATTATTAAAATGTATTTAAATGTTTTCTTTCAAAGACATGAGAGGGGATACAAATAAAATGTATATAAAAGAAGCAGGAAAAAAATAAAAATGCTGGAAATCATTACCCTGCATGCTTTAGAACCAAAATTTAAAAGTAATTATTACTTATTAACGAATGGTTTAATAGAATCTAGTCATTTCTTACTTGTTTACATTCAGTTGTAAGATAGTTTTAGAAGTACAATTTTGGTTTTTAGTATGATTGGTAAAAAGCAAACAACCAACCTAGGTTTGGTTTTAACCAACTTTATTTGGTTTAAAGTTAGTTTTTTTTGGCTTATTTAAAGCAAAAGGTACAGTATTATTTTTAGCTCAAAATTAAATATAACTAAATCATTAAAAATCATTTTATAGAAACCTTTTGTATAAATAAGTATATTATATATACTTATTTATAAATTGTTACAAGATACTTGTATATACAATTATTTTGTATAAACAAGTAAAACAAGAATAAATTAATATTTTCAATCAATAATTAAAAAATATTCACTTTTGTGCCATAAATATAATAAGAAAATAATAATAACTAAATGTTTCAAATGTTTTCACTGTACATGCAAATAAACATTTAATTATAGTTTATTTTTCCCTTGCTTGACAATACACATGAAACTATCAACCTTAGCATTATTTACATTAATGTCATTATTAACCAGTTTTACAATAAAAGCATTAGTATCAATTGATTTTTATAAAAGAAATTTTTTTCCTCCTTTTTATTAAATCAGTAAAAATTTTAATATGAATGAAATATTAAAAGCAATATCATTTTCAATTAAAAGTATTGAAAATAATAGAACTGTGAAAAGGTATAAAAATGAAAAGTCGGCTGCATAAATGTATACCTAAATATAGTAAGAGTATACTTTAGTACTAATGATTTAAAAATAATTTTTTGTCAATTTTATTTTGACATAAAGGAACTTTAAGCAAAACAATATGTTTAGAAATATATTTCAGCGCTAAATAAAACAATAAACATTTAAAATATAAAAGTATTTTGAAATTACTGCAATAATGAAAAAAGAAAAAACAATATAAATTAGTTTACACAGGTAAATGGAAAAATAAAATAAATTTTGAAAAACCTTCCTTCTCATTCATTTAAATTGATTGTAGTAACTCTAATGTATCTTTTAATGAGAATTAAAAAAAAGTTAGAGAAACTTTTGATTGTAACTAATTCAATAATTACATTATTCAACTAATTTTAAAAACTAACAGAACATAGAATCAGTAATGGTTTATTTGATTTTAAGAATCTTTTTTTAAAAAAACTACGATTTATCCTTAAATTTAATTGACTAAATTTATTTTATATATCAGGTCAAGTCATAAGTAACTTCCATTTTTTATTGGACATTTATTTTGCTCTCATTGAATAACAAGATTATATTAATTTATTTTGTAATCACTACTATTATCTATAACCATCTATTAACTTCCTGGTAGTTTATCAAATATTTCCCTGTAAAATGTGGTTAGTTTGGGCTGGAAGAAGTTTTCGTCAGCCTGCCTGACTTGCTCTTCAGAATTGACCGTTTTTCCATTCAAAAAGTTTTGTAAGAAACAGAAAAGGCGGTAGTCTGTCGGCGCAAGATCCAGAGAGTAAGGTGGATGTGGTAAAACAGACCATCCAAGCTCAAGAACTTTTTCTTGAGTCACCTTTGTTGTATGTGGTCGCACATTGTCATGTAAAACAATGACGCTTTGGCAATTGACGAGTACAGGATGCTTTTCAAGGAGTTTCTCTTGCACTCTTTGCAACTGTTGAATGTATATATCCGCAGTAATTGTTAAATTTCACTTCAACAACTCGTGGTGAATTATTCCTTAACAATCCTACCATACGCACCATAAAATCTTTCTGCCATGGATGTTTGCTCTCTGATCTGGTAGGAGTGGTTGATCATTATCAAGCCACTGTCTTTTGCGGACTATATTGTCATAGGTAACCCATTTTTCATTGCCTGTTACAATTTCGTTTAAAAAGGGCTCAATTTTCACCCGTGATAGCAGACTTTGGGGCGATTGACATCCGATCTTCTTTATTCCATCCACTGAGATCGTGAGGTACCCATACACCTAACTTGCTGACTTTCCCTAATTTCTCCAGGTAGCGGTTAACAGTTGATTGTGATGTTCAACCTTTCTGCTATACCTCTTGTTGATTGACATAGATTTTGCTTTAATATTGCCTTTAAAAGGTTATCCTCAAAGTCGAAAGGACGTCCCGCCTTTGGTTCGTCTTTTAAGGTCGTATCTCCAGAGCGGAATTTTATAAACCAACTTCTAACTGCCTGATCAGTCATTAGTCTTTAATCATATACACTGCATATTGTTTCAGCTGTCTCCATAGTGCTATTGCCTTGTTTAAATTCCCAAAGCCTTACATGTAGAATATGTACTTTTTGACTCTTCATTTCAGAGGTTAAAAAAGCAGTTTAACATAATGTGTATCACACAAAACAGTTGGCAAAAGATTAATTGAAGCCTCGCCTACATAGTGAAAACAAAAACTTGTTGTCAGGGTAACTCATAGCTGGTTGATAAGGACAATAGATTCTACTTAGTTGCATCGGAAGATATTTATGACTCGACCTAATAGTTATTTTTGCCTAAGTGCAAATGATACATTAACATTTAAAAATAACTAAATCATGTTTATTTGAAGTAATACAGATTCACATAAGCAACTAAACTAAAAATTGAAAAAACTGTTATGAGAAAATTAAAATTTGCTCTCATTCGATTATAATTAAACTAAAAATATTAATAAAAATAATGAAAAACTTAATTATTAAACAGATTATTTTTTAAAAAAAATTTGATTTAAATAGTAGTTTAAAGCAGCAAACCTTAGTTTTTAGAATGAATAAAATGGAATAATAGGATGTTTTAGAAAAAAGAAACACATGCTAAAATTTCATTTATTAAGTAAATAAAGCAGTTATAATTCCCAAAACTGATAAAATAACTTTCCTATGAAATGTATATGGTTCACCTTTAACAACTTTTTTCCAACCAAATGCAGCTCAGTAAACTACTATATTTTATTTTATCATTTAAATTCCTGCATCGCTTTATCCCATTAAAATAACAAGGAGAAACAAAAGGTAGACAATGATTAGATTTTTATATGCTAGGACATACTTAAAGGACCTAACATTAAATCTGTAAATTATTTAATTCAAAAGATATTTTAAAATTTTGAAATCAGAAACAACCTTCTTTTTTTGAATAAACATGACAGTTTTTTGGAGAATTTTGATTTTTGAATCTGAGAATATGGGGAGTAGCTACTATCAGGAAAATATGATCCCAATAGTTAAGGCAGGAGAGCGGTCCCATTTTTTGAGTTCTGTAATGGTAATTTCCCTACAATCATATTTCACAATCTCTAAAAGTAATGAAGCAAATCAAAAAGTTTCAGCAAACAATAAAACTTCTTTATTTTAAGAATGTAAAAAATTACATTGTATTATGCTCAAAACATTTTGCATACAAATTTTTAGTTTAATTTAATTTAGGTAATTTTGATTAACAAAACTCAAAATTTGAAAAGAATTATTTTAATAGTTCTTGAGAAATAGAATATAAAAATACCACTTTTTTTGAGATGGCAAAATACATAAAAAATAATATTAACAATAAAGTTCGTAGACTTTTTAACAGTGTTCTTGTTAAAACAATTAGAGCTACATTTTGCAGCTTGTAAATACTCCCACACCATATTTGGAACGTCAAAATATAGAAACTGTCAAAAAAGGTTTGTTTATTCAGAAAATCTGATAACTCAACTTAAAATATTGTCTGCATCAATTAATTAGTATATTTAAGGTAAAGTAGGGTGCATAGTCAAATCTTTCAACAAAAAAATAAGCACCTTTTAAGTATTTTTTAAGCACTGAAAAATATTTTTAAGCACTATATACATAAGGAAAATGCAAAATAATTTTCTAAGACTTTAAATGATCATGATAAATTAACTAGTTTCTGACAAAGTACTATTTCAAAGTACTATTTCAGTTGATCAAGATATTTTTCGGTTCGCTATCAGAGGGTGGAAATTTAAGTTTGGAATTGAGAATATCTTACAAAATGCAGCAGAGTTGCACAAGAGAGTGAATAATCTCACCGAAACCAGCTCAGCAGACGCATATACGGACCTGCAAGTATTTTACCAAACATGTAAAATGATTGGCGCTTTCATACGCTATGGACAGACGGTACGCCGAAATGGGTCGTGGTGGAATGAACTGCAAAAACGCTGAATTGAACAAAGTGAAAAGCACACTTTTGCATAATACATGGCGAAAATCAGTATGGCCAAGAAAAAAAAATCTCATTTCCGAAAAGGGAAAATTAAGCACTTTTTAAAACCACCCAATGAAAGAAGCACCTTTAAGGGCTTCTAAATAACGAAAATCGAAAATAAACACCTTTAAGCACTTTTTAAAAACGCTACGCACCATGTAAAGCCTGTCATAAAGTAAGGTTCATTTTTAAAGGTTTTAAAAAATGAAACCAAACTAAAATCAGCGACACAATAGCCCATAGAGGACAAATGCCTATTGCGCCCATCAGTTTTCAATCATAATCAAAAGCTATTGAGGGCATTCAATTTTTAATTTTGCACATAGTACAGGTAGATTTAATAGTAGGTTTGAAGTTAATAGATGATATGTAAAAGATAATACAAGATTCTTTTTGGAAACTTAGCCTTAAGTTTAAATAATTTTTTAAAATTAAAACAAAAAATTTTAAATGTTCTTAAGCTACCACATTTTTTGTATAAAAAAATCAATATAGAAATAATCCAGATTTGAAAAGTTCCTTAAAATCTTGCCCTCAATGCTCAACAAGTATAATTTATGTGTGGATTTTAAAAAGTGGTACTGCAGGCAATAGATATTTTTCTAACATAGCTACTGTAGTTATTAATTTAAAAATAAACCAATTAATCAAGTTTTAAAAGTAAATTTAATAGTATTTAAGTATCATTTTAGGTATTTCAAGCATATGAGTGTCTGAGACCTGCAATAGTAAGGCATCAATAATATTAAAAACAAATTACACAGCACATTGAAAATGAATATATTTTCTTACTTTTCCATATTGTAAGCACAGATGAAATTATGTATAAAACTAATTTAAACTATTTTTTTACCTTTACATCATCGATATCCAACCCCCTCTTTTTAGCAATTTCAAGTATTTCATTAGCAACATATTCCTGTGATGTTCCTTTTACATCAATATAATCACAATCACTTGAAGCATAGTGACAAGATATAGCCTATAAAATTATAAAAAGTTATTAATTTTATAAATTTATTGTACATGTATAACCTTAAATACAATATATTCAATTACAATAAGTGAATAAAATATTAAATAATCTGTGCCGTAAAATAATTTATTATACAAAAATAAACAATAACATAATTAAATAAGTATACATTCTTAAAGTATTTTGATATTCTTACAAATATTTAAGTATTGCATAAGAGTTAATAGTAGATATTCATACAACACTTCATGGAGAAAACATTAATATCAAAATAAAGAACAATATGTAGTTCACACTATAAGAAGTACAAAACTTCGATGGAAAATGAATAGAAAATTAAAATACAATGGAATCAAATGAGTTAGAACAAGAAGTTACAAATAGGCAAGCAAGACCAAACATCACTGAAACTTAGTTTATGAGTCACTACAAAGTAGGAAATAAGAGGAGTAAAATATGATTAGAAAGAATTGAAAATGCAACGAAATAAGAAAGAAATAATAATCTTACCTTAAAAAAAATCTCTGCTGTTAAAATGTAATCTAACAATATTTTTAAAGAGGAACTTGTTTAAACAAAGGTGATTGTTGGTGAATTGAGTTTTCTTTTAACATATTAGTAGTGGCTAGTCAGGAGAAAAATTCTCCTATCATGGCCCGTTCTTGCAGAAATTCATCCCCCATTTAGTCAATGGAAGGTAACTACTTCAATCTGTTATGAATGTGAAACATTTTGTTGTAATTTGAATGTCACATTTCTTGGAGGGAGGGTTGTAACATGCATCATAATTGGCAGATACTCTGGCATAGTTATACATGCTTTGGCAAACTTTATTTGTAATATTTAACACATTATGAAAGACAGTTAAAGTAAGAATTTTTTTAACAAATTTTTCCTAATATAGTAACATTTTTTACTACAAGAGAAGTATGCATTTAATAATTATTTAAAAATTCTACTAATTTAAAAAAAACAAACATGTATTTTATTGTATTTGAAAGATTATAAATAAACTGTTACAAACGAAACTCATAATTTTCTCCACTAAAAAGTGCACTGTTTGAAGGTATACTTCACTTTTAAAATCATAAGAACATTTATTTTCATAATTAATATTACAAACCAAATTTTTTAGAACTGTAGCACTGAACATCATAAATGTAGATTTTTTATTAAATATATTTTTTGTTAGGTAGTTTCTATATTAAGTAGTATTTTTTTAGATTTCTTTTATTAGGGATTTATTTATTATACACACTTTATTTATTTATTTATTTTTTGAGTCACGTCTATTCATTCAAACAAAATTCAAATGCCAACATTCTTAGAGAGAAAATTATATTTCAAGAAGTCATATGAATATTTTTTATAAGATAAATTTAATTTCAAATACAGTTTGTTCAAAAAAATTTATTAGGTTAAATGATACTTATTAAATAAATTTTTAATAAATGGAATTTTTTCAGTAAAATATTTTGTATATTTCATTTAACTCATAACTTATAATTAACTCATACTCATTTAATTATGTTATTTCATTTTCATACTTCTGTTCTGTTTTACTTACATTCCATAAATATTTATTTTTTTATGAAAGTAAACAGTGAGTAGGACAAGTTGTATAGCTAGTACATATCCCGTAATTTGGATATGATAGCTGCTGTATCTAATTCTTGGTGACTATCAATGGTGCAACTGGTAAAAAAAATTTAAATTACTGATACCAAATTGTTTAAAAAAATAATAATACTGAACAAAAATTGTTACAAACTTTTAAAAACTGAACTGAATTGTACAAACATAATACCAAATTGTATTAACATTGAAAAATATTATTATTAAGCTGCATCATAATATTTACATTGATTTAAAAAAATTCCTCGAAAACCTTTTGCTTGCATTTCCTTTATAAGTACATGAAATGTTAAATGCATGCAATTCATAAAAACTCATTAAAATTTAACGAGAATATTTCAAATTAACATTAATCTAATTATAAAAAATAATGATAAAGGCAGAGAAAATATTAAAGGATATGTTTTAAGTAAGTTCAAAGAAGAAAAGCAAGGATGTTTATCATCTCTACAACAAATATATTACATATTTAAAAAAGTGTGATACGTATTTATTAAGCTCATATTTGAACCCTGTATCAACAAAATGAAAATTCAATTTCACTTTTAAATTTTGGTTTAAAATAGTATTTAATATTATACATCACTAAATACAAAATAATATTAGTTTAAATTTAAAAGGATGTATTTTCATATATTCTTGACATTTTTTTAAAAACAAAAACATATTTTTCTTCTTTTTATTTATTTTTGTAAAAAGCAGGAAAAATTTTGTAAAAAAGAAAGTATCTGTTAGGCTTAAGTCTTTTACAACTTACATTTGTGTATGGAAAAAAGCAGGAAAAATTTTGTAAAAAAGAAAGTATCTGTTAGGCTTAAGTCTTTTACAACTTACATTTGTGTATGGAAATCAAAATTTTTTAAAGTCACCTATTATTATGAGACACACCTACATAAGCTTTATTGACATAATGAAGGTAAAACATGCATTTCAGTTGGTCATGGTGTGGTGTTTCTTCAGGTGTATTGAATTAACTAGTGCTAAGAATTTTGAAAATGACAGAACCCAATAAGAGTATACATTTTGGCAAATAACACATCCTGGAAATGACACTAAACTTGTAAAAGAGGCTGAAATTATCTTTGTATCCTTTATGTTATAGCAAAGTAATAATTTATTTAAAATAAAGTAGGTCATATTATGACAAGCTGTTAAGGTATCAAAATCAAAACTTCATCAGAACCTTAAAGAAAAATTCATCTCTGAGAACTTGGCAGCAGCAAGTGGGAAAGATACCTTTCTGAAAGTAGTTCAGTAGTTCATCATATTTGAAATTTTGAAAAGAGGAGATTACTTAATTGAGACTAAACTTGTAATTTCAAGGTCATGTATTCAAAACATTCTCATTGTTCTCATCGTTTCATAAATGTTTAAGTTTTTCTACACTCATAATATTTTTTTAGAATAAATAAATTATGATTCTTTTATGAATTCTTATCAATTTCAAAAGTTGAGTTCCATAAAATTTCCAATGAAAAAATTTACATACGCTCCATCTTTATTGTGCATGCTAGACTCAGAGTTTGAAATTTTTAATTAGAATATCTCTTAAACCTTTCCAAACTACATATTACTCATGGGGGAAAATGCATACTGCTCTGTTCTTATAATATAATCATCATTTTGTGCATGATTTTTAATTGTAACATAATCAAAAAGCTTAGACAGCAACTATTATAGGGAGGAGGAACATAAATTATTTTAGACCCTAAAATTTTTAGAAGAATAAAATTTAAATTGCGATATTAAAATATTCTTAATATTACTAAATTATTAAAATTAACATACATAATATTAAAAAATATAGTGAAATACCAAACTACAGAATTTTTCAATACTATAAAGTACTTTTTAGCTAACTGTACCAAATATTTTATTTATCGCATGTGCAATAAATAACTATTTTAAATAATCTAAATTATCTAGCTAATATTTAATATTGTTTACTCCTGTAATGTTTTACCTGTAAGTAATATTTTATTTGAGATTTTTATTCAGTAATTTATTTATTATTTTTGTTATTGCCAAACACAGAATGGATAAATTACTGAATTTGAAATTTTCCTCTAAAAGAAGTTATAACTTTTTCTAAGATTTTGAACGGTTTTTAAAATTTAAAAAAAAACTGTGTGTAAATATGAAAAGAATATTTATTTGACCTCTTGAAAATTCAACTAAATAATATGTATTTATAAAATTTTTCTGTTGTTGTTGTAACATTTGGGTCAAATTGTCAGAATGGTTTTTTAATATGAAAGCGGTTCCTTTTTAATAAATTTTATTTTTGAAATTTTAAAGCCATACATTAGAGATTTGTTGAATATTTCAAAAACTTTCTATATTATTATTAGCTTTCTCCTTTGAATTGAACCACAAGACTGCAGGTTTTACATCTATGATTATCTCTTTGGAATTATTAAAAATTGTGATTATTATGAATATGTTAAAATAGTTTTTAACATTTTAATTTTGTTAACATTTTTAATATTCTTAAGCAACATATAAACAGTGCTAGTAACGCTGAGTCTTCAGCTGACAGAGAGAGGGGAAAAAACTTTTCTCATATTTGAAATTAATGATTTTTCGTTCATCAAAATAAGGATAATAAAAAAATTTCCCAACACTACATTCAGAGCTGTAGCCAGGATTTATTTGATTTTCAGGATAGGGTTTTTAACTATTTTTTTAATGCGCACGTTTGTACACTGTAGAATACATTTAAAAATAAATGACACAATAATGATTAGATAACGTTAAACTTCTTGAATGAGCAATTAATAATAATCGATTTCTGCTTGAGTGAGCAGTCTCACTGAACATGGCATTTTGAAATATGAAAAATTATGCATTCAAGAAAAAAAAGAATAACAAAATATCAAATATAACTACCACAAAAAGCAAGAAATTAATAAAAAAAATTAAACTAAAACATGAATAAAAAAATCTTAAATATTCAGAACTAGAAAATTCCGTCAACTATTAACAATGTTTCAGTGGGTACCAATGAAATTAAACATTAAAAATATGTTAGATTAAACCCACATATTCATTAAGCTACATCAGTGCACAATTTATTATACAGATAGTTATGAACCATTTAAAATAGTTGCAATTAATTACGAAAATTCAAATGAAAGCCAGAACGTATGGGCTTTTTCAGCACAGTGATTGCACATGACGCAGATGGACACATGTGACATCAGTTCATGAATTATCATGTAAGCCCCCGCTTTAGGTGAAAATTAAAGTAAGCATTTTTTGCTTAAAAATAACTTAATAAACAGCACTCTTAGGAAAGTAATAAAATGTTTTCTGTGAGTTTTAAGAGACTCTGAATGCATTAAGATTTTTTTAAAAAAAATTAACTGTAATTGTCCATTCTGGAAAGCCTAGAAAAACAAACCAGAGAAAAATAGCAATTTTAGTATTTTTAGCATAATTTTAAACTAACAAAAAAATTTGCTTGAATGTAAATATATGTGAAATTAAAATTCCTTATAATTATAACAAGTTTAATCTTAAAATTAACATGGTAGTTTAATCGAAAAAGAAAATTAATATAAGTTCTTAGACTTATATTCAATTTTTTAATCAGTTTTTCAATAAATAATACTCATTAAATCTTTTTCTCAGATAACATAATAATTTAAAACTCCATAATTAATCAAGGAAATATAAACATTTTATTAACCACTGAAGTTTGCTGTAACATGCTATTTAAAATTATTTGTTCAGTTTTATCTTTCACCAAAAACCTTTATTACTAGGTATTCTTTTTTATAGAAATTAGTACAGTTTTTGATTTTGATTTATAAGAAAAATCTTAAAAATAATCATTAAAGCATTTTTAAATCTCAAGACTCTTAACAATTTTAGTCTAAAACCTGAAATACTAAATTTTAAAAATAGTAGAACACCTAAAAAATAAAATTAAGAGCTAAAATCTAAATTTCAGGTTATGATCTTAGAATTAAACAATACTAATAAAACATAAATGTTAGGTTATCATAACACCAAAAAATAATTTGATACTGACATTCAAATTTTCAGTAAATTTATTCGCTTCATAAAATTCCTTAAAAACAATTTCAGTGTCACTTAAAATACTAAGAATAATATATTATCGAATGAGACACAGATTTTTGTATACCTTTCGAAATCCTTTTGTTCTATTAGCTCCAGAACCATGAATTAATAATGGATGAAAAAAGACTGTATCACCAGCTTCCATTTCCAAAAAGACTCTTCTATCCTTCTGATTTTCTTTCAAGTCAGAAACTCCATGATACATCTTATTAACACCACCCTATATATTTTAATTACTTAATTAAAGTGTTATTACTTAATTAACCTAAGTTAAAATTTATCTTTAAAATTAAAATCAGGTTTCAATTTATTTAAGCTTAATAATTAGTGATGATTTTACTGTAACAGAAACAATTATCCCATTAAGAAGGAATAATCATTTATTCAGTTATAAATTATATTAATTTAATAAAAATAATATGTTTTTCAGATAATAAATGAATATGAAATAAATATAATCAAATAAAAACCACAGACAAAGGCCTAAAAACCAATAAATGAAGTTATAAAGGCAGAATTATTATACAACCTATAAGTTAGAAACTGTTGTATCACTAGGAGGAATAGGTAAATAAAGAATGTCCCTCCGGCAGAAACTGGACTACCGCATTGATGTATGCTGTGTGACCAAGGGTTCACACATAGAACACCTGTAATGTATGTAAGTAAAACTTGAATAGTTTCGGAATAATTTCATATGTTTCTTTTTTTCATATTTGTCTTCTTTTCTTTACTATAAGGCTTTGAAACCCTGGAGGGAATTATGAATAACCCTTTATATCAAGGGCTGTCAGCAAGATTATTAATAAAAAAAATAGTAGATTTATTAGACCTAAACTAATAAATCCACATTATGATATGTTTTTAATACAAAATATTATTATATTAGATAAACTTATATAATATTATTACATGCAAAAGAAAGTATTTTTACATAACAATTTCCTTAAACGGTCACTTAAAATTTTTTTTTATTTGTTTGTCTGTTTCTTTGTCTAAGTAATATATATTGGTTACAAATTAATTTGCACATTTCTTTTTTAAATTGCTGGTAAAAGGATAGTTAATCAGAAGTGTAATGAAATGCAATTAATATTAAAAAAATATGAATACTTGATAGAATTGACATAAGGAATTTGTAAGGAAAGAATAAAGCCTAATTACTAATAAGTAATGTTGTGAAAATAATACTACATCATTTCTACACAATAAGAAAAAAGAACCTTTGAGCAAACTCTTTTATTTTACTGGCATTAACAAATAGATATAATTGTATATTAATATTAGGGCTATTAGCAAGAGTATCAGTTAAGATAATTAGATTTTGGAGCCAAAATCACTTAAAATACAAATCTAAGAAATCTAATCCCAAAATCGAAAAGAAAAAATTATGCATACTGTAACTGCGATTTATAAAAAAATTTTGTTTTAATTACTATACATCATTGTAAAATTGCTAGTAAAAATATTAAATCAAAAGTGTCACTTAGGTGTAAATGCTGATGATTCAATATATTTATATCATAATTAATGACATAAATAAAATTAAGACATTTAATGAAATGTGAATGACATTTAATGAAATTTAAAAAAAAAAACTTAACAATTCAATGAAACTAGTCATCATCATAGCAAAGAGATATTGGAGAGTCTGAATACAAGAATTTTTGAATGCATAATGGTATGTTCCACACATTTGTGAAATCCTTAATTCACATGTACTTCATGTATTGTGCTGAATGAATAATAATTTGCGTGCATCTAAAACAACAGACAATTCAACCAATCTCAATAGGCTCATTAAAGGAATGCATTTACAATGAAATTGAAGCAGCACACAAAACAGAACAATATTTGTTATCTAAAAGAAAACACTGGAAAGAGATCCAGGAAAGTTGAGAGCACTTTAGTCATAAATTCGGTAAGTAATCAGTGGCTTAACACGGACTTAAAACAGATCATGACTATTAAGCAAAACAGGTAAATCATATTAAAATTCCATCAACAAATGCAAGCCAGATCTTCACAGCAGGTATTACGTATGTTGAACACTTATTATCATGCCCAGAACTTCACCCAGAATCTCAGACAAGCCGTGACATTTTCAAATTATATTGAAATGGTAGAAACATGATTTCTCTGTGAAATATTCATGCTTCTTAGGGTCTAACACAATTCACTGATATATATTTTGCATTTGTTCTCTTATGTTTTTTGTTCTTGTTTATATTGTTCATATATTTTATTGTTTATCTTCCTATTTATGTCACTCTTTCTCATGTTGCCTGTATTATTTACATATTCATTTCCAAATAAAGACACAGGAGAAAAAAATAACATTAATCATAAAAAAACTACTTTAATAAGATGCTGCATTCAAAGAACCATCTTCACACCGAGGGTATTAGTCAGAATTCGATTGAGATGCTGCTAGAGTAAACCATAACTTATTTACATATGAAAACAAGTTGTAACTATTTTTGTATGTTGACATGCTATTTGTGATAATATGGAAATGTGATATTTTGATTACCAGTCACTGCTTATTTTAAACACAATCATAAAACTTCCAGTAACAAATCTAGATTAACTTAACATTTGTCAGCAGTCGTTATTTACAAACGAAACAAACACTACTGATAAATACATAGTATAACTTTAAAAAATTGTTTAAAAATAATGTAAGTAAAAGAGCATCACATTAATTTGCATTTTCCAATTAGTCATATGCTTCAACTAGGTTGTCTAAATAATGCTATTACAAAATTTAATCTTACTTCCCAATCTGGGTACTCATGCTCTAATAATGGGCCTTTATGTGTTCCAGGAATAGCAACTAGGCATCCATTTTGACGGTTCACTCTTTCCATAGCTGTCCATGCACAAACAACTTTATCTGCAGGCCTAAATGGAAAGTAATGCAAGTCTTGATGGAGTGGATGGCGAGAAGTAAGAGAGCCTGAACAAACATAATTTATTAGATACATTAGGCACCAAAAAATTAATGTAGGATATATAAATAACATAATTAAAAATTCGGACTTTAATAGCAATTTTTCATATAGAAAGTGTTATGTTACTTAATGGTTGGTTAGTCATTGCTCAGTCTTCCTTACAGAACAGGAGGAAAGATAAATAGTGGTATTAACATGATTTCATTATTTACATAATTTTTGGTCAAACAAATCATTTGTATTAATCAACCATAAAATATTTATAAATAAAATAAAAGAATTTTAATAAATTCAACATAAAACATTTATATTAAAGAATTAAATTTTTTTTATTTGGATGTGAAATTACATGAGGTGTTTCCTCTTTACAATTTAAAGTGGTGATAAAGCTCACTTAGTTTAAATGTAAATGTATAACTGCTTTCAAACTGGGAGCATTTTTCACATGATCCAGTAAAACTTGGAAACTTGGGCATTAATGTGTAAAATACAATGGAACTAATATTTATAAATAAAATATTAATTTTTTAAATAAATTTAACATAAAACATTTATATCAAAGAATAAAGTTTTTTTTTATTTGGATGTGAAATTACATGGGGTGCCTTTTCTTTATAACTTAAATTGGTTGCTAATGTCCACTTAGTTCAAATGTAAACGTATAACTATTTTAAAACTGGGAGCATTTTTCACTTGATCCTGCAAAGATTGGAAACTTGGGCGTTACTGTATGAAATACAATGGGAATAAACACCAGCACTCAACTCCACACCAATTTCCCATATAGGACATCCATGGGTTTGAGATAGTCATGGCTAGGTCCCTTTTCAAAGATGGCCCTTCGCAGAGCCCCCAGCTCATAACTCCAACGCCGCCAGGGTGAAGGCTGAGACTGATTAGCACCCTAAATCATCTCTAACAGAGTATAAAGTTATATCAGAATGAGAACATACAGTGTATCTGCTACATTTCAGATTTTCAAATCCATGATTTTTCATGACTAATTCCAAGATTTTTCTTGACTTAACGAATTTACTATTTTCTCCAACAAAAACACAACAATAAATTTAAAAAAGCATTATAATAACATTAATCACATTAAATTTAAAAACCAGAGTAAAGAAGAAGTTGAAGCAATATAAAATTGCACAAAAAAATACGAAAGCAAATAATTAATTTTTCTTTTTTTCTGCAGGATTATATTCAAAAGATACTTTTCTCGTTCATTAGAAAGGAAAGAAATACTCCTGATTTTTCTGTTCTCATTTCAGAATAAAAATAATTCGCCAATGACTGGCTTACCTCAGCTAGAATTTTAAATTGATAAAATAAAAAAAATTAATAATAATAAAATTCTGAAATCACAGAAGTTTAAAAGATAATTTGCTCTAGAAATGATATTTTTCCTTTAATTTTTTTTAAAAAAACACCATGATTTTTAAAGAACATGATAAAAAAATTTTATATTTAAATAAAATATGACTGTGAGTGAGGATTTTGTTACAAATTCAGATATTCGGTACACCGTGAAATTGGGTGGGGGGTACATTCCATTTAAAAAATTAGATTTTTCGGCAGCCTAAATCCATGACTTTCCCTGATTTTTTTTAAAAAAATAGTTAAAATCATGACATATCATGGCAAATTTTGTTCAATACTGAAATTCATGACTTTCCAGTTGCGTGAATACCCTGAACATAGAATTGAATACTTGTTACAATGGCAATTAGTGCAGTTAACACCTGCAATGAAGAGTTTTTCAGCTTTGTAGCTAACAAATGTTGTTGATTTCAAATTGAAATTAGATATTATATATTTGCATAATTTAAATTATAAATTATATGTCTGGCTACAATTAATAGAAAATTATACAGTTCAATACTAAACAGTTCAAAAATAACAGTTCTCATAAACTGACGTAAATAACTAGGTTTATGTTTTATAGAAAGAACTAAATGCTACATTATATTCTGCCATTGCTCAGCAATGGACAATATGTGATTTTTTCATTAGTTAACTGTTACTTTAACTTAAAGCTAATATGTAAAGATTTGCCTCAACTTTGTTCAAATTCTTAACTAAAACCTGTTTTGAAACATGCTCCTTATTCACAGAGAAACAAGTGGGGCTCGCTTGCTAAGGAACAGAACTAGTAGAATCTCTTTCCTGACTTCAAAGATCAGCAAAAATTGAAAGGAATATTTATATAGAAAATGATGTTCCGCCCATCACTCCTCAACCATTTCTACAAAACGGAATGTTAAAAAATCATGAAATAAATTAATTGATAAAAAAAAAACTTTTTCCTTCGAAACATTCTAAAATATACTCTTATTTTAATGAAAGATATTTAAATAATGCATATCCAAACTAAAAAATAAAAGACATATAACTGTAATAAAATTACAGCAAAATTGTGGAAAATTTCAAATTGGTATATACCTGGATCAGGAGGTTTATTTATAAGCATTGTGTGCATTGCTTTGATATTGGGACCACAAAAGCATTCAACATAATCGACAATCTGAAATTAAAGCAGATGATCTAGTAAGAACTTTAAAATAAAATCTATAATATAAAACCTAGAACATAAAAGAAAATTTAATAAAATGGCTAAAAAGATTAAGGTTTACATTTTAAGAGGCTGTAAGCATTAAAAAGTTTTACTTTATTGAAATTGTAATGAATTGATATATTTTAAATATATTATAGTCACTAATATATTAAATAATATTATTTTTAAAACGTGCTATACAAAGTCATTGCTCAATCAGAATTTAACGTAATTGTCTAAAATATCTATTCTCTTATATGGATTAACTGCTCTAACATGCTTGCTGTTAGTGCAGTTTAACAGCACTCTCAAAAAGGTTATGAGAGAAGCAGGAATTGCAACCAAAGGAAACAATTTTTATTTATTTATTCATATTCTAGCATATGCGGATGACACTGACATCATTGGGAAAACAAGACAAAACTTACAGAGAAACATTTCTAGCTCTTGAGACAATAGATAAAAACATGAGCATAACAATCAAATAAACCAAATATCTGCAAATAACTAAAAGAATCACCAATCTTGAGTTTTCTGAAGTAAATGATAACAGGTTAGGAAAAATCACAAAATTTAGATAACTTGGAACATTAATTAATGAAAAAACTGACAAATTTATGGAGAAATCAATAGTGGTGTTAAAATGGCAATCAGAAGTTTTTAACAGTTAAAAAAATAACAAAACACTTAAATCAATGCTTCTTAAATGAACAACAGAAATCAATATTTATAAAAATTTCATTCAACTATTTAACTTATATAGCTGTGAGAGGTGAACGTTTATTTAAATTATTATCGGCGTATGTAATTAGAAGATATACTGGGTGAGCACTTTGTAAACATGAACTAAAGAACAAATTTAAAGAACCATACACTTTTAACATCCTCAAATTTTATCTTTTTAGAGGACTTGAACACTTAAAGAGACTGGAAGACCCAGACACCTGATATTTAGCAAAGCTCTGAAGTGTCAAGAAAAGAAGGTGACAACCCATTAGATGGTTTGACAAAGTCCTCAGAGTCCAGAGTGTCAGATGTCTTATATAACTGGAAATAGCTGATACTGACAGGGACCACCGTTATTCTTTATTTCAGGACATTAAAGTAGAATATCATGTATGCCACAAGTTTGAAAAATCCAAAACACTGAACATGCAAGACTTCCTCGAAATAACAAGAGGAAATAGATAAACAAATTGAAGAATTATTAAAGCATAACGTAATTAAATAAGCTCTTCTAGCTACTCCACTCCAGTAACTTTAGCTTTTTAAAAAGACAAAAATAAAAAAGTAGATTGCGTATAAAATTTAAATGCAATTATTATATCAAATGTAGAACCATTACCTTTGACAGAAACTTTGACAGATAAATTATGCAATCGTGTTTATTTTCCCTGGATATAGTTGCAGGTTTTTGGAACATAAAAATTCCCCCTAATGACACTGCAAAATTTGTCATTAACAACAGCTTATATGAATGCTTAAGATCGTCATTTCGGTTGAAGAATGCTGCCCCAAGTATCTTTCAAAGAACAATCCGCTGAATTTTCATTAAACATAAAGTTTCATTTGCTGCTAATTATTTTGATGATATAATTATTTTTTATAATAGTTTTTAATTTTAAGTGAAAGAATAGAAAGTTGTATGGAAGAAGAATAGTATTTATTAGTGAAAGACTGACATCAATAAATACATAACTTTGAACTAAACTGACAAAGAATCAGAAAAACTACTAAATTTTATTTTTAAAAAAAAGTCTGCAGCATATTGAGTATTAAATTAGTAACATCGCGTTAAATTTCTTTCTTGTTAACAAAAATATGTTTTTTTATAATTCATATTAGTTTTAAATATTGATTGCATGTTAAGATTGCAAATCTTATTCTTTTCATTTTAATTATGCTTCTAACATAGATTTTAAACATAAGGTTTTAACATAAAGTTTTAGAAATAAATATTTTTTTTAAATATTAATCATTTTTTTAATTACTTGTTACTTTTAATTAAATAAGGATATTTTGATGTTTGTTTACATTAAAGACTAATTATTCAGAAAAAATCTATTTTCTGGACTTGCCAATTCCGGATATGGGATTTTCTACTGTATATATATATCTACACATATGCACACACACACATATATATACATATACACATACTAAGATTTTCAATTATTTAAGAATGCCTGAAAAAATCAATGATTAAGAAAAAATACATACAAGACTTGTTCGAAAAGTAAGTACTGTTCTGGAAAAACTCACATAAAATTTTTTTTCTTTGAAGAAGCAAGATTTATATTCCCATGGGAGAGCATTTTGGAAACTATTTTACTTCATAGTTACCCCAATTGTTTAGACATTTGACAAAGTAGGAAACCAGTATTACCCTACCCTCTTCAAAGAAAGATGTCGAGAAATTTCTCTGTTATATTTCTACAAATTATAAAAACTTAATGTATACAATGTATCTAATATTATTTTTATCTAATATTAGGGATTTTTTCATATCATCAAACAACACTGAATACCGAAAAATAATTTCATGCATTTATATCTCTAACTGTACATCAGAGATAATATTATCAGTGCAGCAAACCATAACATTCTTATTTCTCTTGTTGAAAGATTCTGAAGTGAATAAGCAATTACCAAACTCAAGAGTCAGAATTAGCGCATTATTTTTCAAATCTGTTTGGTACAAACCTTTGCAGGTCCGTCAATGGTGGCAATGAGAATGTCCCAAGGGCCAATCTTTAAGAATTATGTATTAGTACTAATATTTAAACAATTTAAATAAAAATGTGAGAAATTTAAATAGAAATTAAAAAAAATTTTAGGATACACATGTTAGCACAAACAGTACTTCATCAGAGAATACGCAGACATGTCTCCTGATGAAGTACTGTTTGTGCTAACATGTGTATCTTTAAGATTTGTTTACTTTTTATTTAAATTTCTCACATTTTTATTTAAATTCTTTTCGTAAGACAATTTTGGTTTTAGCTGCTTAATAGCACTTTTCAATTTTTACTTATTTTACTTAAATTCTGGTCTTCATTTCTGTTTAATTTAATTTTCATATTTATATTAGACACTAATATTCAAACTAGCCATTACGAATATTAGCTAATTTATCTTTTTAGCCACACTTTCAAATGCTAAAGTATGCTTCAATATATTGATGTAATTTCAATCAAAGGGCATATATTTTGTCTGCAATTTTCAGTGTACTTAATTTCTAAGTGGAAATAATCGAGCATCACACACTTTACAAAATTGCAAATGTTTGATTATTTCCTAACATTTATTAAATTAAGAAAAGCATAAAAAGTTGAAGGTTTAAAGAACCAAATCGTAAAAATTTTTGAAAATGACAAACTGGCTCGCATAAACATATCTTAATAATTTCTCATGTTTAAATAAGCCAATTTTTCATTCAAAACCATTTTGAATATGTGTATAAATTAAGTTCTCCAGAAAAGATGGTCTCCTAAAAGTAATGAAGTAGTAAATACATTTTGAAAGTAGTAGCGTTTAAAAAAAAACCAGTTGTAATAAAATACATTTGTAATAAAATAGTTGTAGTTAACTGAAGAATAATGAAATTTTTCCAATCACTGATCAAACTACTGCTCTTTTTACTATTGAAAATAATTTTAATATCATAAAAAAAACTAAATGCCCACATATGTGGCCTAAGGTGTAAAGAGTTTAAAAATATTTAAATAGCATAATTTAAAAAAAATTTTTATAGTTTATTGGAACCTGTTTTGACTTGTTTTAGATGGACAAAATTGTAACCTTAATAAAATAAAAAAGATGGACAAATACCTGAGGTAAAGAACAGTAATCAAACAATACTTCATCAAAAATGAAATCCTGAATTTTATTTATAACTCTTTCATTAGGTCTTGTTTTGCTAAAAGTGACATCTCTCATTACTGTTAGTCCTGGAATATTTACTTTTCCATCACAAATATCTTTAAAACGCTGCCTGAAAACAAAAATTGCCCTTTATAAAGTATTAACATAAAAGCAGTTTTACAAAAAAATATGTATATCATTTGTAATAGTGAAACTAAGTGAAAAATTTTGAAAATTTTAAGTGCAAAAAATTAATATCAAGATGATATAAATAATATTATTAATATTAATTGATATCAATTTATGTAGCATACAAGCTTCGTATTTAACATAATTTTTTTGAAATAAGATTTATAATTTAATTACCTACCCATGAAGGATATCACACCTTTATAGTAAATAATTTAAGAAAAATTTTAGTTTTTACTAGAATCGCGATGTTGCATTTTTGAATCGCTTGAATATGAATCACGATATGGATTTTAAAAACATGTGAATACGAATCATAAAACGTTGCTATTAAATCAAGTGAAAATAAGAAAATTGTGATGTTTGATATTACAAATGCATGATTTTCAATTTATAAATTCCTTATATCTATTATAATGCGAACAAAATTTTAAATTTTGCTTTTGGAATAAAGGAAAAAATATAATAAATTATGATTATATATACATGTTAATGTATTTTAGAAAACCATAAAAGGTTTACAATCCAAATAAATTAAGCAATAAGTGTAATGAGCTATGATTAAATTATATTACACAATTTTTTTTTTATAAATAAGTAATATATTATAATTTAGCAAAATGTTTTTTTTTAAATCATGCACTTTATTCACGTACTTATTGTACTTGGCATTTTTTTCCCGCTTTTAATTCATTTTTTTCACGTATTTAATTCATTTATACTAGATTTTATTCACAAAAATCAGATTGCTGAAATATGTTTTACTTCATGCCATTTTGTATAAAAGGCTAGAAAGTTAAATTTATAAGACAAGTTAATAATTTTTACAGAACAATTTGATTTGAACATTGCAAAGAAATTGATTAGAAATGATAAAAGTGAAAAAATCCATTGCATGGGTATAATGATGTGCTTTTTCAAATGAGCTCAATCTGAAAAAATATGGGTTATTCTGGGAGGTGCCACCTCGGCAAAACTTGAGTAAAAGTGGATATGGTCTAATGGAGAAAATCGCTTTGAGGAATTGCCATATTACATTTGGCTCCCATTTTAGTTAAGGTTGTGATACAGCCATGTTTGATGCTTTATTTGTTAGTTTTTAACTTAGATCGCTCTATTATTTTATTAATTCACGACTTTTGATACCAATTTATGATTAATGAGACAGATAATATCAATAAATTTTCTTGTATTTTTGTATATTTCGTTGGTTATCATTATTCTTCTTATCATTATTATTCTAAATTAAAAACTTAAAATTAAAAGTGAATTCATGTTAGAAGCAAATCCTGCAATCTCATTAAGCACCTAGGAATGAAAATTTCAATATTTCTAAAAAGAGAAGCAAAGAAGCGTAGGTTTTTCATCAAAATCTCAGTAGAACCTTGAATCACACTACCTTGAATCACATTAAGATTGCATGTTACTTCCATAACTGATCATAAGATCAAAAGTAACTGAGGTGTTCTATTTTTTATAGTCTGTTAATCCAAAGGAAAAAAATTATCCAAACATTACACTATAGCATTATGATAAACCCAATGCGCTTTATAATCTCTAAGTAATTAAAAACAAACTATTTAAAAAGCAAAGTAGTAAGCCCATAAAATTGCATTTGAAGCTGTATCCTGCCTTTTAGAGCAAATCAAATTATTTCATGTAATAAGAAAGAAAAACAGTACAAATTAGGTAACAAAACATTTTCCAAATTTACCAGTTGTATAAGTGCTAGAGAGTAAAAGAACAAGAAAACTAGTACCTGTAAATTTCAAGAGACTCTTCTGATACAAGCTGTGGCACAACAATAAAACCATTTTCTTCATAAAATAACCGTTGTCCTCTAGACAACCTACTGCAGTTATTTGTATAACGGAAAGATTTAGATTCATTTGGCTTTCTTGTTTGCGAATAATTGCTTTTTTGAACAATTGCCTGGAAAAGAAAAATAACAATTGAAACCTTTTTTTCAAAAGAAAAAAAACTAGCTTGATTCAAAAAATAAGAACCAATCTTTTTATTATTTTACCCCCATTCAGATTTTTTTTTTCTTTTTAAGCTTACGTTTAGAATACTGCAAATAAAGCTAATACCTATTTGTATTTGATAAAACTGGCTACTCAGAGAAATAGTTGTTGAAAAGAATAGTAACTTGACTTTGTAGCTAGCATATTAAGGTCCTAGAAACTATCCTAATTGAAACTATCCTAAGAGAACGTTTTTTAATGAAATTAATTGTTTAGAGTCATTGGTTCCATTGATACAATAAACCTATTGGCATTTTAAGTTAAAATTCAACACTTCTGCATGACAGAAAATATTTTTTTCCAGGTTCCTCTTTTCTGTTATTCTTTTTAACTAGGCTATAAAACTATTGTACAGAATTTTATCTAAAAACCAGAACTTCTAAAATGTTATTCCTAACTCAACATAATTCATAAAAAAATATGTGTGTGCTATTATTTTGAATTAATACTCTTATACCTCAAATAATAAATTATTTCTCCACAGCTCTCAAAATTTGAGAAATTTCACTATAAACATTTTATTATTATGCCACTAGTTGAATTAGAGGTTTCTTAATTTATATAAAAAAATTTATAAAAAATTATGATGCTATTTTCTTTGTTATTAAAACTAAAATTTCATGACTTATTCTGTTTTGAAAAGTAATATGTAGAAGTTCGAAATAAGTTTCTGGCTAAATAAATTCATTTAAGAATAGTGATATTTCTTTTTTTATTCTTTAAATTAGGAGTGCACAACCTGCGACCCACAGGCCATATGTAGTTTTCAGACTGTTGGATTGCAGCCCGTGAGAGCTTTTGAACACGAATTTTTTTTCCCATGAAAATTAAGAAAATGTCAAACCATTTTAATCACACGTTTGATTCATCACATTTTGTCACACTCAACTTGCATAGAATTCATTGTAAATCAATGTTGTTTCTCATTTACTTTTTCAGCAGTTATTACTACGAGATTCTGATTGCGTTTTAATAAGATATTACAATGTACAAATTTTGAATCTGAGTAATCCCTTTTCGAATCTCTTTATTTTTTCCGATTTCATGGTGAATCCAAGTGACATTTAAATAGACTTTTTTTTAATATTAATAACAACCAACTGCCCTGTGGTTTTCAAAATCCTGATACATTTATTATGTATCAACTTGTGAGTTAGAAATCATGCATTTAATTAATCACATTTTGACGTGCTTTACTTGAGCCGATTTTGTAGGAAATCTGAATGATTTTCCTTTCCTTTTTTAAAGGCAGTTACTGCTACGCCTTTTGACATGACTTTGAAAATCCTATACTTTTACTACCTTTTTATTACGACATGAGAGTTTCAAATCGCACATTTAATCAATCTCTTTTTAATGCATTCTATTTTTGTCCCATTTCATCGTAAATCCTAGTTTCCAAAAGAATTTCTAGAAGGAACTCGAATAGGCAGCACTTCAGCAAAAAATGTATGAACCAAATTTTTATTTAGATATTTCTGTCTACATAAGCGTTAGATTTTTCTCTAAAATAATATTGAACAATACATCAACTCAACGCTAAAACAAAAAGTTACTTTGCAGGGGGAAAAACACTAAAGATCATAAAATTATGTTCAAAAATGCAATTCAAAATTTCCTTTATGTAATTCCAAATTAACTCGATCTAATTGTAGCCAAATAAGAAAGATTAAATATTGCATTTTACATTAATCAAATAATTCTTTTGCTACCAATCGGAATTTGCCGCATAATTGCTACTTATTAATATATAAGATTTTTTTTGAAATATAGAAAAAACACAATTTTTTCTAACAAACAATCGTTTAAATGTTTTCCATTTTGGAATTACTTTTGGGTTTATCATAATGCCAATCATGATAAACTGCCAATGGAAGCTTGAAATCTACCAGACAGTCATGTTGTTAGCAAATGAGGATTACTGTCAGTATTTCAAAATGATTTTAATCAACTGTTTTCAAATTTAATATTTTTGAGATTAATAAATTAGAATTTCATCTAAAAACTTAGTCATCATTTTTAAAAATACTACACTTCAGTCAGTGCCAGATTACCCATTAGGCCAGACTAGGACATGGCCTGGGGCACCCAATCATTAGGGGCCCCCTTAAAATGGATTTTTTGAAAATAAATTTAAAAAAATTAAGATAAACAATGATTTTTAAAAAAAAAAATAATAATTTCAAATATATATAAATAAAATACGATAATTTTTTTACATAATGTTTATCATATTTATTTCTTGCTTATTTTAGTTATTATTTACAGTAAAATTTAATTTATTATTATTTATTTTTATTTTAAATGTGCTTTCTTAAATGAAAAGATATATAAATACTTTTATATTTGAATAAATAAAAAAATATACGGAAAAAAAAATTAACAAAAACAAGTAACAAAATTTAAATTTCAGATAAGTGAAACTCCAAGAAAAGTTTGTCATAATATAAATTAAATATAAAAATTTACAGACTTCTGTAAATCAACAGTCTTCTGCTAATTTGCAGAATTCTGTAAATTGGCATAAGAATCACATACTTGTTATAAAAGTTGATGACATTGTTTGGCGATAAATTTCTATCTAAAGAAAATGGGTATAACGGATGGTAAAATAATTGAAATTAGTAAAATGTAAGAATAAATTCTAGCTTATCTTTAAAATTTCCCGATTTTTCCGCGTTATTATCTAAATTTTCCAGGTTTTTTCCAGCATAATAAAATTTCCAGGCGATTCCAGGTTTAGCAGGTCGGTGGCCAGCCACCAATTCTGCGACGTACATTTTTAAAAAGATGGTTCAGGTATTTTTCATTTGCCTAATTTTAGATGTTTGAAAAATTTCTTTGTTTTTGTGCAACTTACATCAATAGATTTCGATCATCATCCTTAATATTAATCAAAAAAGTAAGTTTTAAAAGATTTAATAATACGCAGCTTACAGTACTTAATGACCACTTCTTAATATTAGAAATCATATAATTTTATTGAAATGCATTAAACTTAATAGAAAATACCTTATCTATACCAGTTTAAAAACATCACAGAAAGGACAGCTTGAAAGACATAACTCGTAGCTATCCTCGTACAAATTTCTACTTATTTCTATTAAAAGATTAAAGCAAGTTTAAAATTTATTTAGTGTCTTGGCCAACATATATCGATGCAAAAGTATTACCTCTCTAATGGTAAGGAAAATTTTTCATACTATGAGCTAGGGCAGAATTATCGTCAAGTATTGGCAGTTTACAAGCAGCGGTGCAGGAGAAACTAACAAGAGTCATCACAAAAGGACACAAAAAAGGCATAACTCGTAGCCACCCTCGGATAAACCTCTGCTTGTCATTTTAAAAAAATTAGCAAGTTTAAAATCAATTTAGCACTTTGGCAAATTGTAGTTGGTGCCTTTCAAGTTGGTCCCCTATTCCAACTTTTTTTTGTTTTTGATAGTAAGTTTTTAAAAAATTGGAGACATTTTCAGCACAGAAACTGGGGATATTCCTATATCGTGATCTGTCGTGCCAACTTCAATCGCCAAGATGCCAAATAAATTTTGCCAATTAAACTTGCAATTTTCGTTGAAAAGAACAAGTAGATGTTTGCCCAAAGGTGGCTACGAGTTATACCTTTCGAGTTGGTCCTATTGTGTGATGTTTTATTTAATTTCTCACTGGCCGCTGCATAGTATTTGCCAAGACTTGGTGATTGTCCTGCCACAGATCTAGATATGAAAATCTCCCAAACTGTACGTAAATCTTTACGAAATACACTCGACGTCCAAAAGTTACCTACTTTATAATTTACCCGATATTATAACATTGATGGAAAAAATGTATAGTAAGCAATTGGAATGATTTAAAAGTGCTACACATTACCTTCATAGGATTTTGCATTCCAAATAAAAGCATTTCAGGTGCTGATTTATCAGGATTCAAATGACGATAAATAGTTTTTAATCGATCTTCTGCCATCTTTATCTTTTTAAACTGCCAAAATAAACCTTCAGTAAGTTTATGCATCTTATTAAGGATCATATTTTACACAATAAAAACAAATTTGCTAAATGCATCGGAATTAAAAAAAATGAAACAAATACCTCTGTAAAATATTCTTACTACAACAAACAGATATATTCCACTCTATTATACTATTGACACTTCTGGAAATGTCTTCATCACATACAGAAAGAAATAATAATAAGTTCACTTCAAAACAACTTTATATGTAAAACAATATATTTTATCTCAACAATGATAAGGAATGACGCAATACTGTTTTTCCTTAAAATATCGGATTGATTAAAGGAATTGATAAAAATATCAGATGATTTTTGAGTACAACAGGAAAGTAAACAACAAAACGAAACTTGTCTTTTCAATTCTAGTGCCGTAGATATAAGGAACCCGTAAGAGGAAGTGAAGGTTCTATCTTACCGGTGGCAGCAGATAAACCATTTTTGTGGTTTATCTCATTATTGGCGTCAAACAACTATTTTTATTATCATTTTTTATACAGGGTGTCCCAAAAGGTCGTTTACAAACTTANACAGTCAACCATTTTATCATTTTTTATAGAGAGTGTTTAGTTGTAATAAGTTCTGATAAAGAATATAACAATATAATAAAATATTAAAATGGATAATAAATTTTTTTTTTTTAACTTAGAAGTTAATAAAACTTTTTCCTCAATTCAGAAATATGTTTTAATTCAGTTTAATGAGTGTTAGCCATAAATTTGATAATTTAACTTCACAACTCTAAACTACTGACAAAGCCTTTAGTAATATGCACTTTTATGCAGAGCTGCCATCTAGTGACAGTAAAACTCTACAGAAATATAGAACACCAAATTATAATAAAATGAAAATAGGAAAGGAGCATATAAAAATAAAATTTAATTCTGAGAGGGATGAATTTTTATGTCCTTCAAACATGCGTCGTTTAAAAATTTGTTAGAATTTAATGACAAAGTCAAAAAGTTCGGAAACAATTGGTATTCCGAAGAGCAAATATTTCCGCAATTGAAAAGACTATTGAAGAAAATAAAACATTTACAATTTAAAAAATGTTTTTTTTTTTTAAATAAAATTTAAAACGAGAATTATTTTTGTAAAATAGTTAATAAGTATAAAAAATTTCTCTTTGTTCATTACCCTTAAAAGTATTTAATAATGAATAAAATTATTAGTTGATTTTACTGCGTTTGAAAGTTTATTTTTTTTATGTTTTCTCTAGATTTTGAACTGGGATTGTTTCACCTCATAAAAATGAAAAAGCAGCACTATTTCGAGCGCACACTAAGCTTTACATCAGCGATTTTCATTTCCGCCCCCACGGAAAGTGTGCTAAACGTTCGAAGAAACATTATTGACTTCATTTGCATTTCTATGAAAAGAAAGAAACATATTAGTCACATATACATTAGTTAGTTTTTGAATTTAGATATTTAAACTTAAGCAAAAGGGGAGAAAATCGCATTATTCTTATTCTATAGCTTTAAAAATTATCTTGTGTGTGAGCATTTTCTTAAAAAAAAAATGGTTCTTTGAAATTCCTTTTTTTTTTTTTTTTTTTTTACGCTTAAGTTTTTCAACTTTCATTTAAAGAAGGAAAAAAAAAACTGTATTGAAAATATTGAGATCTCTATAATTCCATTTAATTGAGTAAGAAAAAGTTGGAAAAGAGCCTCTATCTTCATGTTGAATTTAGAAAATTGAGATAACGGCCGAATAGATTGGTAAATATATATGCTCTAATAAAAAATTTACAAATAAAAAATATCTAATCAAATATGGGGTATTCCGTAATTACTACTTTTAATACAAGGTGTTAATATAATATAGATTTTTGGAATCTGAGGCAAAATTATCATAAAAGAAATCTGAGAAAAATAGCGAATCGCAATAGGGGTAAATAACCAAACATATTTGATTTTCGGGCTAAACATAAGGAAATTGAGATCGGTAGAACTATATCTAAGTATCATTAGGCAATCAAATTGTTTTTGCCATTTTTTCATCCTGATCTCTTCTTAACTAGTAATTCGATAGTTTCCAACTATCTTTTTATTACTTCCTTGCTTAAACATTATCCTGCGACCTGTACTTGCGTACCATTTAGATTAAATTCTTAATAAAGATTTAAAAAATTTATATTAAGAACGGGGAATCGGAACACTCTGTTCACATATTTAAAAACTGTTTATGGCGCATTAAGTCACAATTTGATTAAAAACTTCATATTTGGTGTCGCAAATCAATATCTTAGTCAGAATTTTATCAAAATCTTCGGAATCAGTGTTGAGGATAATCACAGCATAAATGTATTTAAAATTAATAAGGAAAAAAATTATAATCCAGTTAATCTAACTAATAAATCTAGCAATCCAAATAATCGCCTTACATCCCATTTACTCTATGACAGACAAACTGGCTTTTTATGATTTTAATTACATTCATGCTATACGTGACTTTGAAATTAAATCATCAAATTTTCCTAATGCTCTTGTTTTTTTAATTATTATTATACTTTTAGCTTTTAAGGACATTCTATTTCTGTATCCAGAAATTACACGGTTAAATAATAAATCTAGATTATAAAATATCTTATTTTCTCAAAACTTTTCGGAAATAAGTTATGAATGAAAACATTTGTACATAATTTTTTTACATTTTGATTGTTCTGGGCAAAGGGATTTTTTATGAAATATTTTAAGCATACAAAAAATACAAGTAATTTTATTTATTTATTGTACTAAGATACTGTGATCAAATAAGTACTTTTCTTGTAGCCACATTGGGTATGAATTTTTACTTCAATAAAAGTTTTTAAGTACAAAGCCATAATAAATGAAAGAAGTCAAAATAACTACTGTTATATGAACAATTTAAAACTTTATTTTATAAAATATCTGTCACAACGGTGATACCTGCTTGCGTTAATGATTTCTTATCCCCCTTTAATAAAGGTTGGTGGACTGCGCTTAAGGCAATCTTTATGACCATATTACTTAGTTTCGAAAATCGGTCAAATGTTTAATTAGACCTATGCAATTGTTTCAAGAATATTGGTTGAAAAGTTAAAAAAAAATATACACATTTGTTGCTCACTTGTCGTCTTAAGTTGGTTAAAAAATAAAAGTTCAGGGTACAGTATCAAGTTTTAATTAAGTTTAAAAAACCTTACTTTAATATTTAATAATTTGAATTTATTTAATATATTTAATAATTTAAAAAAAATTTTTACATGCAATTTTTGAATATATTTATTGATTTGAATTTTAAACCAGTTTTAACCAATCTATTTTAACACCAAACTTCTGCATATTATTTTTAAAAAAATATTTGAACATAAAATGACTCTGACCAGAAGACATAGTTGGCAATCATTATTTTTTTTACTCCAAAATCGCACATATTTGATTTAAAATGGATATTTTTTTATTCGAATAAAATTAATTGGATTTTTCAAAATTTACCATCCAAAGCATCTGATACAATATTTTAATAATACTATTGTTTAAAAATAGAAGTAAAATAGTTAATATTTCTTACTAAAAATGGATAAAATTATTATTATATTATTACATACTAATCACTGCGTTAAGAAAAAAAAAATCATAGTTATATTTCTCAGATTCAACTTGGTGATAATTGCTAAAATTGTCAACTAGACATGATGACAATTTGTCAACTAGACGTCAAATGAAAAGTAAATTAGTTTAGATAAGAAAACATTACTGAAAAAAAAAATTATGTCATTCTGGTTTGAGGAAGTCTTGATACACTCTAACTCTATATTCAATAAGATATAAAAGCTTTGCATTTTAATTAGCAAAAAACTAAATGGATATAATTGAAATATGTTTTTTGAAAATTATTTTAAACATATTAAAAGGAAAATTACTATTTAAAGGTTTCATATCACTCTTATTTAAGTGTAGTCTATTTTGAAACATAATAATTACATGAATATCCCTTTCGATATTTCTTAGTAAAAAATTCAAATCAAATTTCTTAGTAAAAAAACATTTTAAATTATATATTTTTTCAATTAATAATTTTTAATAATTTTGTTGAAATTACTGATTTATTTTTTTAAAAAAAATAATCACTATTTACATCAATGCATTTTATAATGAAAGGGATAACATAGTGATTTCAATGCATATGCATTTTATTACTCCGTAATAAAAGAAATAGCTTCCTTAATAAACATACATTTTCAATTAAATCAGACTTTTTAAGAATTCACACATTTAAGAATGTATTTATTAATTATACTGTATGAAAATATGTAAAACTTAAATTAATAATTCTTTAAAAAATTAATTCATAATTAATGTTATAAAAATTATGTTTGTTTAAGTTAATGTTTTTTTTTATATATTAAACTGGTTTAAATTAGTGATTTATTTTTAAAAAATTGAAAAAATGTAATCAGGATTTAATTCATGACTAAAATGAAGTAATTTATGCCAACCCTGACAGAAGCAATCAGAAACTTAAAAATCTAGTATATTTTTTTAAAAATTTAATTTATGTGTTTTTAAAGAAAAACCTTAAAATAAAGTTGAATTATTTCGTGCATTTCGAAATGATTTTTAACAAATTCTTTCTGTTTTGCTTACAGTAACATCGTAGTAAGAATTTGATTTTCAATATATATATTGAAAATCATGTTCTTTTTATCTACTAAGTTGATAATTGAGTCAATAATATAAGCTTTACTCTATAGTTATGTGCAATACAAATATGATCTTATATCGAGTTTTGCTGTCAATTCAAAATTTTAAAAAAATAAGAAAATATTGGAAACAATTTTTTTAACACAACTCAATTATTTTTCTTTAATCACTTAATAAAAATCCTAATGTGTCTCATAAAATAAAATAGTTTCAAAAAACAACAACTTTTCTAAATTTTCGTTAGGAAAAGCAAAACTTAAAATAACTGAGTGTAGCTTTTTAACTTATTAGTGTCGAGTCGACATAGTCTCAATTAATTTTCCAAGTACATGTTTTTCATAAAAGGCGTTGCAAGAATTTCTTATAAATTATTTTTTAAAAAAATAAAAGAATAAAACTTGGTAACTTATTTGATGTTTTATATTATTAGATTTTTCATTTTTATTTTCAGAGTTAATAAGAAAATCTTGCAACAAATTTTAAGATAAAATTTAATAAAATGCCATAATATCAGAAAAATTAACTGAAAATATATTAACTCGATTTTCCCAAGTTACCCTCAATATTCTAATTTTTACTTCATCGAATAAAACTATAGAAGAGCTGTTTTGTAAAATTTTTAAAAATTAATTCATTGTTACTCTGAAGATATCTCGTGATTGTTAAACTGTTTCTTAATTTAACTACTAAACACTGAGTACTATATTTAAACAAAATAATGCGTTTAAATGTATCCTAATCAAATTTTTTATTCACAATAAGTCGAAAGTTGAAAAGGGAATAACA